CTGGGGGAGAGGGGGCGGGACAACGCCTCTGATTGGTTAACCTTTCACCTAGAACTGTCAAACTGAGTTTGATGAAAACCTGTCTTTATACTCTCCGACATGGATTTATAATTATTCATCCCAAATTACACACTGGACAGAGTAAATATGTACAGGGTTCAATGCGGCTCTGGATGTAATGGTTTTGACAATATATTATGTGTTCTGATTGTGCTTGGTGTACACTGGGTGTTTTTGTTTGACTCAGGCATTTTTATATAAAAAAAAAAGGAGTCTCCACAGTGGATGGTTTTAGGCGATTTCACTTTTTTGAGACAACTTCCCCAGCTTTGGAGAAGACCTTTTCACATGGCACAGAAGATGCTGGTGTCACCAGGAACTGTTTGGCCAAGTTGAACAGGTGTGGGTACAGGGATTTGTGCCTCCACCAGTAACCTAAGGGGTTCTGTGATCTGTCCAGAGGAGGAGCAGACAGATATCGCTGAACCTCCACAATGAAATCTGCAGTAGCGTTCTGAGATTTTCTGTCTTCTTCTGCATCTTTGTCAAGAAGCTTCCACAGGTCAGTGCCTGAAAATAAAACATTACAGGACATTTATAAAGCATTTTATTACAAACAAATGTATCTATAACTACAAATGTGACTAATGGTTCTGCTGTGCCGGTGTTGATGTTGATGGTACGTCGTCATGAGGTGCGTTTTGGATTAAGGCAGCACACTCGGACTTCAAGTGGCGCACAGCTGCATCAGCATTGGCTGGATTGTGAAAGCCAAGTGTTATAAGTAGAAACCGTGTTTATCTTGTGTGAGCGGCTCTGTCACTGACTGCGTACACACATCTCTCCGCTGCCTCGTCGGCAGCACACACACACTTCCCCGACGGACACGTCATCCTGGTAGCATTAACAAGCATTGTTATCCATCAGCTGTTGAAACCACAATGAGATCTGTGTGTGATTTATTCTTCCTGTGTTTATTCAGAGGGGACCGTAAATTGGACATCCACTGTATTAATAACAGACTGGAAATTAAGGTTTACATCTTGGAAATATATTTTATATTATTCAGTGGCACCAATTCAAAATGTTCCCACACTTGTGACCGTTTCCATGATGGCTCCATAGTGAGTCAATCCAAAATGTGTTGACAAGATGTAGGACAGAGCTCTGTTTCATCCATCTTAAATACATCTGTATCGCTCCAATGTTTCAAAGCTCCGCCTGTCGAACCAAACCAGTCAGCTGATTCAATCTGAATGAAGCAGAAGTGGTTCGAACGTCATCAGTCACGTGGTTTTTCCTGATTTGAAGCAAGCT